TGCGGGCGCAGCGCTATGCGCTTAAAATGTACCGTGTGACGTAGCGCTATGCGCTTACTATTTACAGCGCTATGCTCTTCAACTGTATGCTCTGGAATCTGGGGATCGGGCGCAGCGCTATGTGCTCAACATGTATAAACTGAAATCTGGGGCAGCGCGACAGCGCGGTGCGCTTGAGTGGCCCCTTTTTTCACAGCGGCAATGCTCTAACGGCCCGGTTCGCGGGAGAGAGTAACGGCCCGATTCGCCGGCAAGAGCGATTACACAGTACATCAGGCGACTGGTCTACTTCTTCCAGCTGCCTTTCCAGCCGCTCGCTTTGGCGCCACGCTCCGCCTCCCAGCTTCTCCACTGCGCGGTCCACTCGGCCTCTCCGTCCGGCTGCACGGGGTCCTCGGCGTGGCCAGCTCCGCTCAATGCCGCCGTCGCCACATTGCTGCCCAACTGGGGTTTTTCGAGCCTTTCCAGGACGGACCACAGCTTGTCCATGACGGACTCCAGCTTTTCCAGCTTTGGATTATTGTTCTTCTTCTTATTAGTATTCGTCTTCTTCTTCTTCAAGGCCTGGTCCATCTGCAGGTGCAGCTCGTCCATTTTTGCAGTATTATGCAAGACCTGGTCCAGCTTCTTGTCCAGCTCGCGCACTACTTCCGTCTGGACTCCGACATGGTCCATCCCATTCACCAAGGCACGAGCCCTGGGGTCATTCAAAGTCTCGCCCACTTTTTTCAGCACGAGTTCCGTCTTCTCCTCGTTATGGGTGAAACTGGCGAGTAAGGTCTTCATCGCGTCACCATTCTGCTCAACCATCGTGCTCACAACAGTCATGAGGTCCACGTAGTCGATCGGCCCCGCCGCCGTCGCCGCGTTCAAGCCAAAGGATGCCCCCGATGGGGCGCCTAACTTGGGCTCCCCCACTTGGGCACTGCAGCTGGGCCATGCATTTCCTGATGGCGACCCTGAGGAAAGGACGGCCGCTGCGAGCCCCCTGCTTCTTTTTGCCGCCTCTGCGGAGGCGTTGGCCGTTGGGGCTGCTTCTGCCGCCGCCCCCGCTGCCGCCGCTCCCGCCTCCGCCGTTCCTGCTGCCGCCACCACCGCCGCCGGGTTTGTTGGCGCCTCCTGCATCGGCGCTGCACCATCCCACCCTGCACCACCGAGACCATCATATTCGGGAGAGGTCGGCCCCCCATACTTGTCGGACCTTACCACTTTCTCGATCTTGATACTGTACATGTTTTCAGCCTTCTGGACGTTTTCTAGGCACTGCCACTCGGATCCTTTTCCAATTTTGCTTCGGTGCTCAGCAGAATCCATGTGCTCCTTGGTAACCGTCTTCTTTTTGCCGTTTTTCCTCGCGCACAGCGCGCACGTCCAATGTGCCGAAACGGAGCCAGAGCTGGCCACGTACTTGTGCCACGGCGCGTCTCGTTTCGTGCCATCTTTGAGTACGGTAGGTTCGCGTCGTGTCGACCGGCGGCGACCCCGCCGCGGGCGTTCAAGGTTGAACGCCGCCAGTGGCCCAGAATCGGCCTAATATGGAACGATATGGCAATCGATAAGCCGCCGATCGTTCAAGGTTGAACGATCCACGCGATGTCAGAAACCAACGCCGGGGTCGTCACGACACGAACCTGCCGTACCAATATCGCAGGGAGGTCCGCCCCCGATGCCTCATGGCACTCCCCGTCCCATGCCTGAGCTCCGGTCGGGTCACGAGCGGCAGCGGCCGCCACCGCCGGCGGGTTCTGCCTCGCTGGGCGAATCTTCGCGGCTTCCAAATGCTCGAGCCCAGGTTGCCGAAGGGAGTGCGGGATGGTTCATGCATGAATCAGCTCGGCCTGGGCCCTTTTCAGGGCGGTGGTTCGGGGGGAGGAGGAGGAGATCATCATCATCATCATCATCATCATCATCATCATCATCATCATCATCATCATCATCATCATCATCATCATCATCATCATCATCATCATCACCATCACCATCACCATCACCATCACCATCACCATCACCATCGTCATCATTCTCGTCACCATCATCATCATCATCATCATCATCATCATCATCATCATCATCATCACCGCCATTCATTCATTCACTTAGTGCACAGCCATGCGTGCATTTCGAGGAAGTCTCAGGAGGAGGTAGGACGGAGGAGGAGGCGGAGAATGAGGAGGGAGGAGGAGGAAGGAGGGAGGAGCAGGCGGAGGAGGAGGAAGAGGGCCCCGAGGGTATCCGAGGGTATCCAAGGGTTTGCCTGGGGGCCGGTTCGGTTCCAGCCGGTTCGGTTTGGGCGCCCGGGCCGGTTTCGCCTCGCCGGTTCGGTTCGACGCGGCCAGTCCGGTTCTGACCGGTTCGGTTCGGGGTCCGGTTCACGCGGTTCGGTTCGTTCGGCCGCCGGCTCCCGGTCACCAGTTCGATTCAGACCCTTGATGCAAATGTGGGCGACGGGCAATTGCAATGCTCAAGTTAGAGATGGCGGTGTACAGTGCCAGGGGCTGCGCCGTGCTGCGATGAGCTGAGACGCGCCATGCCGCGTTGAAGTGCTGTGCTCCATTGCATTGTAGATCATGTCGTCCGTGGCATCAGACTCCTGATCGAACCGATCTGGATCTTAAGCTCGAGCTGCCTGAGCGCATATCTCCGATCTACCAACCAGCTTGAGCTGAAGATCCGATTCCGTTCGGAAGCGGGACGAACCGAAGAAGGGCGAATCTGAACAGTTGTATGTTCTGTTGCGTCGTGTGGTTGTTCCAATGAAGAACTTGCACCTACCCTCCCTGGCCGCACGTGCTCCACCCGTTGGCGTGACATCACGTGCATCCCACTTAAAAGGTTGTTCTTAGGCATTCCGTTGGCCGAGGGCCTCTTCGGCAGGCGCAGGAGAAGTGCCAGCGCTGCGGTGAGAACCCCCGCGGATTGGCAACGATGCACTGTTTTTTTCTTTACCTTTTTGGGGGATCTTCAGCAGTGCCGCGGCCGAGCTTCCAGCAGCCGTGGCAGCAGTCGCACCCAGCCGAACGCCTTCTTTTTGTATCATTGTTTTTGGGGGCTTTTTGCTTTGTGCATTACCTCTTCTGACCACCACGTCAAGCCGTGAGGGAAAATCTCCCCTGGAATGCGAATCCTGACAGAACTGAGCTGGGTCTCAAGATCGAGCTGCCTGGGCGCACTGTTCGCCCAGAGCTGATTGCAGTCGAGACTGTATGAAAGGAGTATGTTCCGCAACAGGGCGACAGGATAAGGGCGAATCCAAGACGAGGGGAAATGAATCGAGAAGGGGTGGGCCGAAACGCCGACGACGACAACGACGGCGGATGGCGACGACCGCGACCGCGGTTCCAGCTCGGGGCCACCATGTTAGATATCCCCTTGGGTGGCCTGGACACTGAAAACACGTGGTTCCAGCTCGGGACCACGATGTCAGATAGCCCAGGGGGACACCTGGAAAATCACTAGCCGAAGAAATTGTGTCAGGTTATTGCAGATATGGTGTCGATGTATTGAGTTTGTCTGGCTCTTGTGGCCCCCCACGCCGGGGGCTCCCAGGCGACCTCATGTTAGATACCCCCCAGGGTGGCCCGTACACGTGAGAACACGTGGTTCCAGCCCGGTGCCACCATGTTAGATACCCCGCTGGGTGGGTTGGACACATGAAAACACGTGGTTCCAGTTTGGTGCCACCATGTTAGATACCTCTCCCGGTAGCCTGGGCATGTGAAGACACATGATTCAAGCTCGGTAACACCATGTTAGATACCCCCTTTGGGTGGCCTGGACAAGTACACACAAGCGGTTCCAGCTCGGGGCCACCATGTTAGATATTTATCTGGGTGGCCTGGGCATGTGAAAACACGTGGTTCCCACTCGGGACCGCCATGTCAGACACCCCAGGGTGGCATCTGGAAGATCACTTGCCGAAGAGACGGTGTCAAGTCACACAGATCAGGTGTCGACTGTTTGATTTTGTCTGCCTCTTGTGGCCCCCCATGCCGGGGGCTCCCAGACGACCACACGTCAGATACCCCTCTCTGTGGGTGGCCAGTACACGTAAGAGCACGTGGTTCCAGCTCGGTGCCACCATGCCGCCATGTCAGATACCCCAGGGGGAAATATGGAAAATCACTAAGTATCCGAAGAGACTTTGTCAGGTTATTACAGATGTGGTGTCGATGCAGTGAGTTCGTCTGGCTCTCATGAGCCCCATACGCTGGAGGCTCCCAGACGACCACACGTTAGATAATCCCCCTAGGGTGGCTCGCACACGTAAGAACACGGGGATCTCGGGGCAACCATTTTGCTACCTTTTCTGGGTGGCCTGGACACGTTGAAACACATAGCTCAAGTTCGGGGCCATCATGTTCGATGCCCCATTGGGTGGCCTGGACACGTAAAAACAAATGGTTCGAGCTCTGGACCAAAATCGTAGTCCCTCCATTTGGGGACAACCATGTTAGATACCCCTTTGGGCGACCTGGGCACGTGAAAACAAGCATTTCGCTTGAGACATCCTTTGAATTCTGGCCGCCAGGAGAGGAGCAATCTATACGACAAAACGCGCGTTTCGCTCGAGAAATCCTCAACCGAAGAATTTACCATTTGTTTTATCGATCGGATTTTCAAAAACTAGCGTTTCGCTCGGGACATCCTCAACTTTTTAATTTTCCGGCCCTACGCGATTTCGTGAAAGTCGCCGGCTCCGCAAGTCGAGGCCCGGGGGCAGTTTCCAAACGAAATGAAAAACCTGGGCCCGCGCCCTTTCAGGGAAATTCAGCTGGCATTGAGAGAGCACGGTTCCTGCGCAAAGTGTAAGAAGTCTCGAACACAACGGCTTACCGGGAGCGGCGAGCTCTCTCTCTCTCTCTCTCTCTCTATTCGACCTTCCTGTGGGTCCTCTCGGCGGTTCTTCTGGACTATTGTCAGAGCCCTTGCCGCATTCGCTATCAGGCATCCGTATCGTCGGAGATCTGGGTGTTTGTGCGACTAGCCGACCGGCCGGCCAGGTTCCGGCGTGTCGAGAACTTGTCCAAGCTCATCGTCTCTGCGGACCGGCTGCCCTCAGGGCGGGGAGGTTGGCGAACGTTTTCTGTCGTTGAAGCTCGCCGTGGTGGAAAAGGGGTCTTGACCTTTGCTTGACCTCTGCCTCTCCTCTGCCTTCCACTTCCTCCACTTTGCCATCCTCCTTCTCCTCCACCTCCTCATGTTTCTCTCCGCCCGTCTCCTTCTCATTCCTGTCCTGCTCCTCCTCTTCCTCCTCCTCCTCCTCATCCTTGCACTCCGTAGCCATTTTGGCTCAAGACTCCATGTGGCCCAGCGGCCGCATGGATACCGCTGGTCCGCGGACAGACCCTAGTGTTTCTCATCGCCTAATCTGGGGGAGTTGGCCGCCCCCTTTCAGCTTCGCTCTCGTTCATGGGCGGCGGTCGCCGCAAGGACAAGAAGTCTCGCAGGCATGACCGTCGCGACGACGAGACTGCTGAGACGTCCGCACGCTCGGATTCCGACTCAGCTCGTGCTTCTCGTCGCGATCGTCGTGATGATCGTCGGCCTCCTCCGAGCCCTGGGGCCGCGAGCCCACAGCGGTCCCGCAGCGCTGGCCGCGGCTCGGGACGGGGCCCCGTGGGTGGCTCGATGTCCCACGCTGACATGGAGGCGCTGGAGATCTGCCCGACCTTCCTGCCGGTCAGCAAGCTGTCACCGATGAAGCTCGGGCCCATCGCGGCGGCGCCTGGCCCGTGCCTTGCGCTGCTGCCGCTGCCCCTGCAACTCCTGATGGCGAAGGCGGTGCTGCTCAGAGCTGGGCGGCGCATGGGGCCGATCCGTGGGCTCTGCATCTTCGTGGTGCTCCTGGGGTTGTCCCTCCTCCTCCTGCTGGCGGCTCTGCGGCGGCGGCGGCTGGCTGGGACAGCCCTGGCATGTCCGAGACGTTCGAGCGCTTCAAGCAGAACATCATCGCGGAGATGGCCCGCGCCTCGGCCAACACCATCGCAAAGATGGTGCGCTTGGAGCTCCCGCAGACCATCGCGAATGTTGTGCAGCCCCTGGTCGTTCAGCTCGACGCGTCGATGCAGCAGCGCTTCAGGGCGCAGGAGCTCCGCATGGTCGAGGTCGAAAAGCGGATGGGGTTGGCAGAGTCGGCACACACGTCCCTCGCAGACCGCTCCGCGAAGCTGGAGAAACAGGTGGACTTGGCGCGAGCAGCTCCGCGGGAGCCCATCGCCAGGACCGCGGGGTGGCAGTTCGCCACCTCCCCTGGCATGTTCGTCATCACCGCGCGTGAAGACATCGGCAAGAATTTGGTCGCGGATGCGTTGTCCGACGGGATGGGCGTTGCCAACTATGAGGCGGGTAAGGACTACGAGCTTGAAGGCGAGGAGCTTGGTCGCAGGTTCGTTATCCGCTTCAATTGCCTCGCTGTCACTTTCGCCCCCCGCGCTCGCCAGGCTCATGGTCTCCTTCGTGATGCACACTGTGTTTGGCGCCAGTTTTCGGCTCCGATGCCCGGCGGGCGACGCGCCCCCTTCTACGTCAGCGTCGACCGCAACAGGTTCGCGATCTCGCGGGAGCGCAACACCAAGTAGCTCCGCGACAAGCTGCAGAGCCTCTTGGGGAAGCGCGCCTTCATGGACAAGGATGCGGGCACACTGTCTGTCGACTGAGAAGTCATCGCGCGCACGGTGGTCGACCCGACCGACCCGCCGAAGGTGCAGTGGAATATTGGTGCTCTTTCTGATCTCAATCTGGTGCGGGCTGACTTGGACAGGGCCGCCAATGACATCTCCCTGCCCGAGCGCATCGAGTGGAGTGGGTAACACCTTCAGCAACACCGACCAGCTGGTGTTCAACAGCTGGAACTGCCGCGCCCTACTACATCATCAAGCTCATGCTCTTCATCGCAAAGCTGAAGTTCTGCGATATTTGGCCTCTCCTTCTAATTACCATCACAGTCCTTCAAGAAGTTCACGGACCTGCTGCTGCTGTCGAGGAGCTCCTCTCACGTGTTCGTGGCGAGGCCGCAGTGTTTGGCTCCTCTGGCTGTGGCGACGTCTGCGCTCTGGTTCCCAAGCACATGCTGTCGCTCGTGCAGGTTTCGCCGATGGAGCTCGTAGCGGGCAGGCTCCTTCTACTTCAAGTTCGTCCATTGGCACTCAGGCTTCTGCTGGTACCACTGGAACATCCACAGTCATGACTTGGACGCGAATAACTTCAGCGGCATCTGGCAAGCGTTTCAGGTTCAACTCAACCAGGTCAAGGGCGATCCCATGAAGACGGGCCTCCTCATGATTGGTGACTTCATCATCGCTGATGAGGAGGTTGATTACTCCACGGCAGAAATCGTTTATGTTCGCGGACGGCTACGTCAACCTGTTGACGGCCCCGCTGGCGCCGCGGCTGCCCGCTCGTCCGCCAGCAGGCAGTCTCGCCCTGGCCGCTCGAAGTGGACGAAGATCTTCCGCCAACTCACGGAGCTCGCGGCGCCTGGCATCAGCCACTTTCACGTCGGTTTCAGGACGCGCTCTCGCATCGACAGGTTCTTCACGGCGACCCCCCCCCCTGGCTTCTGCGCCAGCTCCGGCAGCGCGCTCGATATCGAGGCGAGCCGCAGGAGTTCCACGACGCGACGCTGTCCGACCACGCGCCGCTCGAGGTCTCGCGGCAAACGCGCGCTTGGGGCGCCGTGGCGTAGCAGCTCTGCAGGGAGATCCCGAGGAGCATCTTCGCCGACGAGCTCTACCCGTCGATCATGGAGGAGTGCGAACGCATCGCTGGGATCGGGGACTTCGGCGCGTCTCTCTCGGCGCCGGCAGAGCTGGAGCTGGCCGCGCGCTGTCGGCAGGCGGCGGCCCGCGCGGCGCGCGACCTGCAGTTGCGCGACCGCCCGACGCTGCGCGACAGCCGCTCGTTGCCCCTTCGCTCTCTTGCTCGGGCTGTCTGGCGCCAGGGCGCTCGCCGGGGTAACATTCTCTGGCAAATGCATCAGTGGCTTCGATCCTTCTTCTCGGTTGATGCGTCGCCCTCGCCCTTCGCCCCGACCTCCCCCGACGCCTTTACCAGAGCCCATTCTGATTTGCAGTTCCAGGAGGCCCAGGCCGAAACCGCTCGGATCCAGCGCGCTGAAGGGGCCACCAGGGCACCTGGCAGACGGGCGCGACCTCGTGCCCATGCGAGAGCCCTTGGCAGGCGCGCCCAGCTTCGGTCTCCATTTAATCGTCGACGTTTTTTCGGCGGGCGCGGTGGGGGTGGGACGGACGTTGTTCCCACTTCGGCGGAGGGCCAGACAGCGGTTCTCCGTGAGCACTGGGGCCCGATCTTTGAGAGGCAGCAATCAGTCCCTCGGTGGGGCCTCCAGTGCCGTTCTAAGTTTGCTTCTGAGAAAGGCTTCTCCGCCCCCGCCCCCCCCCCCCCCCCCCTTGTCCTCGGCTCGCCGTTGCACCCGACGCGCTCTGCATTCGGAACCAGGGCCCGATGGGCCCACGCACGCCGCGCGGGGATTCGGCCAAGGTCCTCTGGTTCTTTTTAACGTGTTTCATCGGCTCGCCAGTGGTCAGCGCATGTCTCTTTCCTTTTACCTGCTTGCAAGTCTCCATCCCGAGAGGGCTCTTGGAAGGCGACGACGAGCGCTCAGAGGGGGTCGCTCGGCACGGGCGGGACACCCGTCACATCGACCTCAAGAACACGAGTAACAAGATTATTGCCGGGGTCGCCGATGCTGGGTTGTCCGAGGTCGTCAAAGAGATTGGCGCCCCCGCGCAGCGAGGCTTCATTCGAGGCCGCAACTTCCCGTCCAATGCATACGAGCTAGACGCCCAGGCCAGGCTAGTCAGTGCTCGAGGGGTCCCAGAGGGCGACATTCTAGCCTTCGGCTTTGCGCAAGCTCTCCTGTCTGTCAGTCAGTCCTGGATCGTGCTTGCACTGCGGCAGATAAAGATCCCCCGAGAGTGTTCTCTCGCGGTTCAAGGCTTCTATCAGTCTAACCCCTGTCTGTTCTCCGTTCGAGGCCTCCACCTCCATCCCTTCTTCACGATTTCAGCCGCGCTGCAAGGGTGCCCGCTGAGCGGAAGTTTATTCGTCATCGCCATCGATAGCTTTCTTTGGGACATTTATCTCAGTGCGCAGCGGCCTGGCCATGGACAGATTCGCGCTTGTGACGATGATATTGGCGCCGTCCCCTCGTCCAAGGGGCATCGTGCAACTGCTCGTGTTTTCCGCGACGCCGAGCGTCTCGCTGGGCTCGCCCTGAAAGCCACGAAACGCCGCGTGGCCCCTTTGTGCGCACCCCTCACCGGCAGCCTCGAATGCGAGTTGCGGAGCATCTTGCGCGAACGCCCTTGCCCCCGCCCTGGCGCTGTCAGCCCGCCTGGCACGGCTTGTTGGGAGGAGTTCGAAATCGCGTCGGAGGTCTTGTACCTGGGGTTCTGGCTCGGTCCTGGGGTTGGGGTTGAGCCTCTTCGTAACATTCGCGCTCCTCTGAACAAGATGGCCGTTCGGACCAGAGCCACGGCGGATGCCAGACAAGATATTTCGACGGGGGTCCAGCTTCATGGGCAGAGGGCGCTCAGCGTGTCTCCGTATGTCGCGCAGCTGGTTCCTATCCCGTGGGAGGTGGCCAAAATCGAGCGGCAGTTTTTAGCCCAGGTTTCAAAGTGGCCGCTGTCGGCTTTCAGCTACTCGGATTGTTTTAACCTTGGAGCCTGGAACGGCCTTCGTGCGAGACCGTTGTTCGTCACTGCTGCTGCCGCCGCCATGCGCGCTGCTCTCGTCGCCCTCCCTCAGCGGCCCGCTACCCTCCGAGCGCTGCGCGACGGCCTCATCGATCATTGCCCCATGGCGCTTTTCACCGCGCTGGCGTGGAGGGCGCTGGAGACAGGGGCAGCGCGCACATATTTTGATCGGCGGCGCCTTGGATCCAAGTTGCGGTCGCGCCCGCAGCAGGGCTGCCGCGGAGTGAATTATGCACGAAAGCAGCGAGGACGGCCGCGGAGGGAAGTGGGGGGGAGGACCGGCGACGCCCCGAGCGCCCCCGGGCGCGCAGTTCTTCCGGGCGC